ATTTTCCTATTCTGGGGTTGACTGGCGTATATAAATATGGTCATCCAGACTTTTCCAATCTGGTAATACAATGTAGCAACCTTACTGAAAATGTGTCAATTTGCATGTGAGGAATGACACAACAACGACCGGTCGAAATGGGTACATCGAGTATTGTGCATTGAGTTTAGAGAATGCCACGGTGTTTACACGCACAAGTGCCTTTGCAAATAATTCACTCTTTGAAGGGACACAGGGTAACCTTTTGCAAGGCAACATTTCTGTTTTCTATTTTTCAGTGGCATACCTACAATGTAGTTATCTTACTGATTATTGTGTGTGTTCACTTTGTTCTCCTCCTGATATTTTATGAATGATTTGCCACTGGATTTTAAGAAAAACAACAATTACACTATCATCAGATTAATAAAGGACAATTATGGACGTAGGACAACATAATGTGAAGCAGATTGATCAATTTGTGAGCGTAAAGTGTAAAAAAATAACACATTAAATTATAGAATAACGAGTAAACTGTCCGTCCAATCTGCATTAGGAGACAGTTAACCTTGAGAAGTGAAGCTTTTAACAGATCTTGCTATTTGTATATATGCTGTTGATGAAGTATGAGTTTGCGCTCCTATTTTGTAATTAGAAAGCACCGAAAACTAGATTTGATGACATTATGATGCTTTAATTGAGGGGGTAGACAGAGGGGTCCCTGATTCCCACTTCCCATTTCCCCTCTTCCCTCTCCTTACTCCCAGACGAAAATAATGAAAAAAAATAATCCCAGAATATCCATATTTTTATCCCCCCCTCCCTCCCCGGCCGGCGCTTGACTCCCACTTCCCTCTCCCTGACTCCCGCTTCCCGCCCCACCCATTACCATGTTCCCTTACCCCTGTCCACCTCCTCTTCATCATGTCCGTTGATGTTTTATTGACATACACACACTCTACCTTTATTCGTGTTTAAGTTGTGTTTTGCCTAGTTGGGATATCGATATATCGATTGAAATACAAACGTTTTGTCTGGAAACAGATTTGGTTTAAATTCACTGAAATCTCTAGAAATGATAATGGTTACAGATAAATTAGTACAAATTCTAAGCCCTACCCCGAACTTAATGTCATGTAAATTGGAGTCTTCATTGAATAGTTTCTAAAATCGAAAGCGTCCAACCCCTGTCAGACGGGTACCTGTTAAGTGCGAAACGAAATAAAAACGGAACGGAACAAAACAAAACGAAACGAAACGAAACGAAATAGCGCAAAACGAAACGAAATACAGCAAAACGAAACGAAATAAATATTTTTTTTTTACAATTTCAACTTAAATGTCCCGCTCAATGTCTTTATATGTACCAATATAGGGAAAGGCAGTGTGAACTGATATATATGGGTTCGAAAAGTGGGATTATCGGGATATGATTCAGTAGTTAAAATGTTTTTCTGTGGACTTTTTTTGTGTGAGGAGTTTTACATTCGGCAATTTTTTACATGTAAAGAACATATACACATCGTAATGTTGGTTTATTTGTTGTCGTGAACACATGAAATATTTGCTCCCGGGCTGACGTTTAGCCGCGAGTCACCCATATTGCAAGAAAGCATTAATAATAGATCATTGTTTACGCTTTATTTCACTGTCAGGTCTAGTTATGGATGTGTTAACCTACTTTGGTTACTTATGATGGCTGTCCTCTCGGGTGAACTGGGAGGGATAGGGGATATCTACAGTTTGTTTATGTGAGGAAAATTCTGGGCATTTTTGTGGGTACGTTTCAAGAAATTTCGGGTTGGCATTGGTCTTTCGGGTCTGCAATGGTCTTGAAAGCAGTTTTCGGGTAGCCTTTTAGTCAGAATGTCAGATTTCGGGTACGTGTTTTGTAATTCTATGCAAATTCCCCTTTGTCACATGTTTGCCTAAGTAAAATTTTATTGGATTTATGTCAAGTTAAATTCGGATAATTTAGGGTATAATAAAAAAAAAGCCCTGAAAAACCGACTGGCACTCAACAGCTTACATTTCATGACATCATATGTTAATTTGTTGTCAAACCCGATTATTTTATGAGGCGGTGGAGTGAAATCATAGATTTTTTTATAAGGTCAAATTTAATTATTTATTTTCATTCTGTGTTTAATTTGTGTGCAGCAGTACGTGAAGGTAAATTTCCTGGGTGGAAGGGCAAAAAGGAGGTGGGGGGGGGGGGGGGGGGGGGGGGGGGGGGGGGTTATAAGTGGCACGATCATATCAATTGATGTCCCATATAAATCCGCAAATGATAAAAAAAAACTTCCCCAACGTTTAGCCCAAAACTATTAATTTTCAATAATATTAGGATTGAAATAGTTTGCTTCAAAATTTTTCAAGCCACTCTCATTTGATGAAGGTTATTTCTCAATCACGGGGAGTGGGGGATATCTAAACATGGGATTTTGGGTACAGTAGTGCAGCTGGGAAAACACCCAAATTTCATAAATTAAAACCTTGAGAAAAAATCACGACACTTGATATGTTTCCGATGGCAAAATCATGACCCATTCATAGTTTTCTCAGTAATTACATATCATACAATATAAATAAGAAGATGTGGTATGATTGCCAATAAGATGACTCTCCATCCAAGTGCAAGTTTTGATATCTTAATTTGAATAAAAACGATAAAACAGCATTTAAACAAACATCTATTATAATTCGGAGGATGAAAATTACTGACCATTGATATTTGACCTCAGTGAAATTCAGTGTATGCCATTAATATAATTTAAATATAAAAAGGGAACCTATTTCAGCGGCACGTCTGTGTACATGTATACCTTCATTTAGTCATAGAACCCCAAATTTAGATTGAGACCCACGTGCGTGTCCTCAATATCCCAGTTCTGAAATATAGTCGCATATATATTATTTATCTCAGGTGTACCACCCCTTTTTCTTTCTAGGGTAATATTTTACCGTAAAAACTTTTATCATTCAAAACGACGTGTGAAAACTTAAGACTTAGGCAGTAAGCACCGGTATGTGTGACCCGCCCCCCCCCCTCCTCTGAAAATAAACGTTGCCCCTTTGCCGGTTTCATTTGATTTGTTCCAACTAAAACAAGGACATTCAGATATATTCAAATTTTGCAACACACAAACATATTGTATTATAAGACATTTGGGAGAGATTTATGTTAAAAAAATATTTATTTCGTTTCATTTCGTTTTGTTGTATTTCGGGGAGGGGGTCCATCATTTTTGTATTCTTTGATTTTTTAGGTCATTTTTCTCTATTCTTTATATTTTTACGGCCATTATTCTCTTTTCTATATATTTTAGCACCCCATTATTCTCTATTCTTTACTTTTTCGCCCTATTTTTTCACTGTTTTTTTTTTACCCTTTAATCTGCACATTTGCCCATTATTCTATATTCTGTAAATCCCATCCACACCCTCCTTTATGGGTGAAATTTTTCAATACACAATTCGTCTATCCATCATTGTCCATGTAGAAATCCTGACATGAGTTCGAAACCTAGGTTAGATGAACATGCCATTGGGGTACTGTATGAAAGAACCCACCGTGGCTTATTTTTCAATCTTTTTATAGTCTTATTGTCACCTCTCCTTCTTAATCATATGTGATCATAATGTCTTTCAGATAATTAGATTCATTAAATGATGAGTGTGTTCATCCTGCCTTTTGTACTATAATTCATCCCCGAGAATTGATCTTAAATTAAAGAAATCAATGCCAAAAAGTCGTTGTCAAATCCAGTAAAAGTTCTAAATATTTTCATAACGTTTCCGGGTTAGAATTCAGCACTTTTATGATATTGACACAAAGCAGTGTTAGCAGATTTTCTACACTTTCTATTGTACTGGTAATTGCAGAACATAATAATTCATTTGTATGTACAACACACACAATACACTCATGTAGTAAGAAAGACATACTATTTATAGATTCACTTAAAACACATATTTCAACTGTTCACGATCAGTGATTTTCTGGAAATCTGTTACACACTTTTCAAATTGAAAATGCATGAAGTTCTTCATGGGGAAATGGTACACATGTAATGATATGTGTTATGAAGGCATTACCTCCTCCCCCCCCCCCCCCCCAATAGTTTTTGCTATTCGTTTAAGGGGTAATACAAATATAAGTATATATGATCATTATTTGAAGATAATAGTAATATTAAATTGTATAGGTACATTTGATTAGTAACTGTACAAGACTTTCAATGGTTCAAAAGTTAAATTCCTAGGTAAAAAATTTAAAAATCAGTCAAATGAGATTTTCTTTGTCCAGTATACTTTTATGAATATGATGAATATAGCGATATATAGAAGGCCTTATCCATTGGTCTGGACAATGAAAAACCATGAATACTTTTATTATAAAATGTGGAAATTTGTAACTGTAGATAAACTAACTAAAGTCTTATCAATGAGATTTATCCATTTTGAAATAATATAAGTTTTATAATTTCTTGTCAGGCTGATGTGTACAGTGTAAATACATGTTCTCTCTCCTTTTACCGTTTTACCTTTATTTTATTTAAATAATACTGATAACTATGTTAAATTATTTTTAGAATTAACACATATATTTTTAATTTGGTGACACTGCAAATAGGGTGGACATCCAATAGAACAAGAAGAAGATGAATAATAAAACACAAATAAGACAGATAACAAAACCGAAAAAAAAAAGAAAAAAAAAAGATATTTCCAGTTCAATCAAATAAGTTATGCATATGATAAATTATTTTGAAAGGGTCCTGAAAATAATATAACAGAAAAGACAAATAAATGGTAGATTTTCATTATTAAATGAATTTATTCTTACTTTTCTTTTTATATCTTGTTAAATAATTTATATTTCTCGCTTCTAAAATTTTCAAAATAAATTACTTAATTATTGTAAATCATAAGTACTGGTAATTTAATTTCAAATAAAGAAAATAACAACATCATACTATATTCTTCTAGGAGTCCGAGTTTGTTATAGTCCGATTTTGTGAGGCCGATTATGTTATAGGCCGAGTTTGTTATAGTCCGAGTTTGTTATGGGCCGAGATATCGGGTAGTCCATCTGTCGATGAACTTCATTGCCTAAACGTACAAATTTGTCAAGAAGAAAATTTATGGGTATAATCATCTCATCACACCTCCAGTAAGTATATCTAACATATCTACCTTTGTCGTTTGAATAAAAGGCTTTTTATATGAGTTGCAACAAATAAATTTGCAATCAGATTTATCGAACGACCATTTAATTAAATAAGAAAACTTTTGTTTGATAAGATTGTGTGGAAGTGTAGTGTAAAGACTGGAAAAGTCAAAACTGCAAACCGAATCAAAATCACGTAAATTATCTAAACCATCCAAAGAACTTTTTACACTTCAAAAATGATTAATTCCACTATTTTCGTATGTTTTATTACAAAAATTAATGATCAGTTCTTTGATAGTAGTTAAGGAACTCGTTAAAAGCACTGAAAGTCTAGAAGTGGAACACTTACTAGAGGCCGAGATGCAACGATATTTTTTGTTTTTTTTTGTGTAGTTTAGGTATCCAATACATAGTGGGGACCTTCAAATGTTCAGAAGAGACCTTAAACTGAGCTGTGGTTGTGACATGATGTAAACTTTTCATATTATTTTTGAAAATCTTTGAAAAATCTTCTTAAAAAGCAGTAAAAGATCAGTATGAAAATTTATAACATGTACTAGACAAAGATTTTAACATGGACAGCAGTTCACAACTTTATTTTTTAAAATTATTTCCATAGTAAATGGAAAACTCAAATTAATTTAGAAGATGTCCTAAGAATTTGGAGAAATTAAAAAGGTTGTCATTTACCACAAGTGATCACATTTAAGCGGTAGAACTAAGTCTATTTTAAGAAAGTTTCTAGGGATAGAAGAACTTTTAAACATTTGTAAGGAACTAGTTTTCCTTCATTGTCAAACCAAAAATTACTTTTAGAAATTTAACCAACTGAGTAATATTAGGAAAAACATCCTTATTTTAACTAGCTGGATTTAATGACAAAAACTATTAAATGTCTTAATTCCTTAAAAAGTTCTTTTTCATATATCATGTTACATTTTATTAGTAGTTATTTAGCATTATGGTATCATTATAAGATACCAGACCTGGTTGATAGATTGCCAAACGGTACTTTATTTCTTGCAAATTTTCTTGTTTCCAGTATTTGGTGTCTAGCGATATTGTCATTATCTTTTTATATTAATTATGGAAGTCAATGAATCGAGACGGTCCAAGGGTCCGGAAACGGTCTTATTTGACAGTCATGACCTAAACTGAAAGCTATTTGTCCTAAACGGCAGATTGGGATAAAGAACAAATTATTTTTTTTTACAGAAATTATGTCGGTCATTTCATTGAGATCGGGTTTTTAAATCGCCATTTTGCACATGTTGTTTTTATGTTATCCCTTTTCTAAAATAAAACTGCCACTCCAGTATAGTATAATAAGTGTAATAATCTAAAGGGCCTTGTTAATAACCATATTAATGCCTCCTGGAAATATTGGCTAATGATCGGTAATCACTTTTTACCTGTGTTTTCAAAAATTTTACCAATGTCAGGTAAAACTCTATGGAAAAAAATAGATAAAGACGCATATAAAACTTTAGTTGAAAAAGGTTTTAGTTAGAGAACTTGTCATCATCTTTAGAAAATAAATATGAAGTGGATCTTGCTTTTCAAAACATGAACAGTTTATTTTTCAATTTGGCAAAAAGTTGTTGTCCAGCTCCACGAAAAAGATTTAGAAAACCAAAATTAAAAGTAATGAACCAAGACATTTATGACGCAATTGCAATGAAAAAAAAAAAGCTTTTTATCGATGGAAGATTAATGGGCGATCTGAAGATCCCAGGAATGAACTTTATATCCAGAAAAAAGAGACAACTTATAATTTACGTAAACACTGTCGCAAGGCAGTTGCTTTGAATAGAATCGATGAAAGAGAAAAGATAATGGAAGCAAATATCAAAAATAAAAATTCATTTTATAGACTTATTAAAAAACAGAGGGGAAGATTAAGTAATCATATAGGTGAACTATCTGTAGGTGACACAGTGTATAGTACAGAAGACAACATTCTAATTGGATGGAAACACCATTTTGAAAATTTAACGAAAAATTCTATTCATGAACATTTTGACAACAAGTATCTACAAAAGGTCGAACAAGAATATATTGATATAATTGACATTTGTAGAGCTATGTTTCAGCACCAAAGTATTACTAAAAATGAAATAGAAGACGCTTTGAAGTTATTGAATTTAAATAAATCACCAGATATATTTGGAATTTCAACTGAAAATTTATTATATGGCGGACAATCTTTTATTTATAATCTTTTAAAAGAACTTCTGGTTAGTACTTTTAGACTTTGTATATACCAGACGAACAGAAATTAGGGATAGTAATTCCGCTTTTTAAGAATAAGGGAAGCTGTAAAGACAGTAAAAGTTATCGTGGAATAACAATTACTCCAATATTATCCAAACTCATTGAGGCTGTTTTAAAGATCAGAATTAATCCTGACATTATAAAATATTAAAATCCATTACAACGTGGTTTCACTAGAAGAACAGCACCATTAAACTGCTGTTTTTTTATAGAAGAATTTCATAAAGAATGTGTTGAGTTAAATGATCAAAAAATAATTACTATGCTTGATGCAAAGTCAGCATTTGATGCAGTAAAACAAGCAGGGCTTATAAGAACATGAAGAAGATTATATCAAATGAAAATTCCAGAACAATCTATTTTGATTATTGATAATTTATATAAAAATGCTGTTTCCTGTGTAAAATGGAATAACCAAATATCAGACACTTTTAGAATAGAGCAAGGCGTAAGACAAGGTGGCACTCTTAGTGAAGACTTGTACAAAATCTATATAAATACACTTTTAGACATTTTAACTGATTCAGGATATGGAAGAAAAATTGGATCAATTTCTTGTTGTGCTCCTACTTGCGCAGATGATATAGCCATACTTAGCAATTGTCCGTATGAAACACAAATTTTATTTAATATGGCCTTTGATTTTAGTAAACGTGAGGCATACTTACTACAACCAGCAAAAAGTTGTGTTATACAGTCTAATTCACGTCACCATGAGAAAGTAAATGCAATTTTTTGGAATTTAGGCAATTCGACTCTTCCAACTTCTAAGAAAGCAACACATAGGAATTTGTCGTACAGACGATGATTCATGTAAAGCAACAATAGATGAGAATTTAAAGAAAGCAAGAAGGACACTTTATAGTTTAATGGGGGTTGGACTTTATGGAGAAAATGGATTAGATCCACAAACCTCAATGTCAATTATGAATACTTATATAATACCAATAATGTTATATGGATTGGAAATAGTAATCCCAAGAGGAAGATGTTTAGAAACTTTAAATATCTAGTTTAAAAAAATTTTGAAACAATTGTTATCTTTACCAAAAACAGTAGCTTATCCTGCTATATATATAAATTCTGGGATGTTACCTGTAGAAGCTCAAATAGATGTTAAATTTTTAACTTTTTATGGAAATAATTCTAGACGAGAGAAAAGTTCTATTGAATGGCAACTAGCGGAAAGGCAATTAAATGTTAAATCTATCAATAGTAATAGTTGGTTTAGTTTACTGCGAAAAATATTTTTGAAATATGAACTGAATGATCCTGTACAATATTTAGTCAATCCAATTTCTAAATACCAATGAAAAAGTGAAATAACTACCAAAGTTCAAAAATTCTGGACTGAGAAGATACTGAATCAAGCAAAACTTTATACCAGTTTAAAATATTTATCATTGATATATACACCAGGACGTTGTCATCCTATTGCTAATACAAACTCTATGAATTCAAGGGAAATTATTAGAATTCCTACAAAATTGAAAATAGCTATTGGAAGTTACATTCTGCAAGCAGTTATAGCTAAGTATATAAATAATTCAGAACTGTCTATATGTAAATTGTGTAATGAAACAGAAGAAACTTTACCACATTTTTTATTAAGGTGTAAAGTCTAGAAGATATAAGAAAATCGATTTTGGAAGATTTAATTAATTCCTGTAGTGAAGAGTTGGCTATTTTTAATATGAGAGATATACACTTTGACATTTTACAACTGATTATAGATCCATTTGCTTACTTGACAATGTTAAGAAATGAAAAAGCTTTTAAAGTGATACAGAAACGTATAGATCCAAAATGTAGACGATTATGTTACAATCTCCATTGTGAATGGTATAGACTGTTGCAATTAGATGATATAAAGAAAAAGAAGAAAAAGTAGATAATAACTTTATATAAACCATTAAGTGATAAATGGTTGTCTACTCTTAAACAGTGATATCTTTAGATAGATATTTTAGATTTTAAAGTATTTAAAGTGTTGATGCAGTCTAAATTGACATTAAGCCCAATTTTATCGCCAAGAATGTAAATAATGTACAGTGATATTGGTGGAAGATATTGGTGGAAGATATTTTTATTCATGTTGTTAAATACACTACTCGGAAGAGGTGTGCCTACATTGGCAGAAGCTATATAACAGATACAGATACAGAATTCACACCTGACAGTGATCACAAGCTCAGAACTAATATTATAAAGAAATTGAAATCCCATGACAACTTTCTTCCTTATTTAATTACCTTTCAGCAAAAACAATCGTCAATTATGATTAAAAATTAAAACTTCATTTAATTTACGTAGACAAAAGTATTGTTTCACGAGTCAAACGTATGCTTTATTTATTATGTAATACGCATGCGTGAACAGTCTTCATCAGATTTGACACTTAATCGTAAAATGCAAAATGATTTCATGCTAAATTCAAAGAGCGCAACTATTATCTGTTAAATTCAAACACTTTTAAAGGTAATAGAATTAAAAATCCGGTGATTTCTTCAAAATTGAAAGAAACTTTAGCGATGTCTGAGAAATTTACCATTTTGAGTCATTAAATCATTTCAATCGTCCCATATTCAAAAAGTCATCCTTGGAAACTGTCAGTGTAATCAGACGTTATTTGTTCATCAACAAAACAAGAAACTGCTATATAAAAAAAAGATGTGGTATGACTTCCAGTGAGAAAAGAAGATCAAATGACAAGGTAAGCAACTATAGGTAACTGTGCGAGCTTCAACAATGAACAAAACCCATACATATAATACCGATAAGCAAACATTGATTCAAATGAACTTTGGTGTCTATAAACTATAACATGAATGAAATAGATTAATACGTTTAAACATTCAATTAAAGGTTCCAGTTGAGAGCCACAGTTGAAATTATTTTTATTCTAAACTTGACTTTTAACCAATTTTGTACTCTATTTTCAGATACACATTTAGATGCATCAGAGCAAAGCAGTGTGTATCTTTGCATTCATTGTTGTGTCAATCAACAGTGGAGTGTATGGTAATGTATACATGTGTAGTATTTACTTATATAAAATAAGAAGATGGGGTATGATTGCCAATATGCAAATTATCCACCAGATACCGAAGACGTGGATGTAAGCATCTATAGGTCACCGGCACGGTCTTCAGCAATGAGGAACATCCATACAGTTTAGTAAGCTATAAAACATTTACTTTTACAATCGTCTACTCTAAAATCACTTGGCCAAATGGAACCAAAGTTAATCACAATCATCCTTGGGGTGTCTACTAAATAGAATATATCTGATTTAACCGGCCAACAAACTTGACCACTAACCCAAAAAATAAAACATAGGGGGAAATGCGAATAATTACCAATATCTTGAGACTTTTATAGATAAGAACAAAGTCTGGCAGGGTACGAAAAAATCATGATGTTTGGGTCTACCTAATGTCGAATTTGAATTTTCAGGCAATCACAGAAAGGAGTCGCCCTTAACTGACTTTTTTATTATAGTAATTTGGGGTTTATTTGTCTTTCTATCTTGAAAACCATAATGGACAGAAACAAATCTGAAACAGCAAAACAACAAACAAGACAAAATCTACAATGCAAGATACACTTAAAGGAGTAAGTGCACGAAGGGTTAAAATTGGCTGTATGCTCTTGACGTTTTTTAAACAGGCCAAAATACTACAAATTCACATAGAAATAGTTGTCATATAACTATTAATACAAATTAAACCATTGCCGTGACGTCAGCCTATTCATTTACCGTGTTTGCTTTTTCTAGAATCAACGCGTCCTAAATTTGTCACTGAAATGGACTCACTAAATTATATTCAATTGTTTCCTTTGTGTGCCTAATTTCATTATGTTTGAATTGGCTAATTTACTGATTTCTGTTCACTAATGGAATTAATTTTAAACTTACCTTTAATTTTTTTATTTTTTTTGGCCTGCGACGAAAGTCGCGGAAAGCGAGACGTAGGGATTGCTTTTCCGGCGTTAAGTTAGTTCGATAGGAACTACTTGTGATAGATCATTGATATTAAGTACAAAGTTGCATTACTATCAGTAAATATCAGTTTGGCGACTATTTCGAGGCCCTGCCCTCTAGGTCATGGTCCAGCAACTTTGAATTAACTATCAATTTTCAATGTTAAGTTTTCTGCTTAAGTTAGTTTGATAGGAACTACTTGTGATAGATCATTGATATTTAATACGAAGTTGCATTACTATCAGTACATATCAGTTTGACGACTATTTTGAGGCCCTGTCCCTAGGACATGGTCTAGTGACTTTGAATTAATAAGCAATTTTCAATGTTAAGTTTTCTGCTTGAGTTAGTTTGATAGGATATACTTGTGATAGATCAATGATATTTTGTATGAAGTTGCATTACTACCAGTACATATCTGTTTGATGGCTATTTTGAGGCTCTGCCTCCTAAGTCATGGTCCAGTGACTTTGAATTAATTTTTTCAATGTTAAGTTTTCTGCTTAAGTTAGTTTGATAGGAACTACTTGTGATAGATCATTGATACTTAATATGAAGTTGCATTACTATCACTACATATCATGCTAAGTTGTAGAGTCAAGTTAGAAACAGAGACTTGTCGGTTTAGGTTAAAATCCCTGTTTTCTCTTTGTTGTCTCTATTCTTTAGTTTTTCTCGTTTTTCTTATTTTGTTTGTTATTGTGGATATTTGTGTAATAATAGCGGGGTTTCCCGTTTATTTTCGGATTATTATTGGCTATTTCACGTATTTGAAAAGAAAAATTATTACATTCAATTTGTCCATTTTTTGTATTGTAAATATAGTATGATTTCATCTGTTTTACTACATATCTTATGAAATGTTTATTTGCAAATCCCTATACAAGTAAGTCGTGATGTGCCTAGAATTAAGTTTCTTGCTAGAAATTTCGGTAACGTACTTATTATATATACTTAGAAATCAGTTCGAATATGTCTTATTTTGTAAATTACGGATAATATTCAGATGCATAATAATTTAATGACAGACGTGTTATGTTATGTCTGTATTTCTCTAACCAATTAATTGTGCACTTTGATTTATTAATGTATCGTTAAACATGATAACATGGCTATTTAAACTCACTTACAATACCTTCTAATTAAGAAAAGGCTTTAATTTTGAAAGACATCAAAACAATAGATTAAGTAAGAGAAACAATGGATAAGCGTTGATTCATGAAAAACAAACCATTCGCCCTCCTGACTCATGGTTTCTTTTTCAAGAATCATCGCTTATCCATTGTATCTATAGTACATAACTTATTTTTGACACATCACATTAAAGATAACAAAGAAATTACCCCTCAAGTATGCAATATTTGTGTTGAAACATCACTTTTGGTCAAATTTTCAATAATTCTTAACAGTTTTTAACATAAAATTGAGAATGGAAATAGGGAATGTGTCAAAGAGACAACAATCCGACCATAGAGCAGACAACAGCCGAAAGTTTACTTTGGCCGCCACCACCGATCCAGAAAGTTTCTGTGTCTAGGGATCAATATTATCAGTATCAACTTTTTTGCTGCAAAGCATTTTGGATCCTAGGTTGCAGTCAAAGCCATCTTCAAGCTTTTAGGTCCGAAAAATGCTTTGAGAATATACCTAAAATGTGCTGACTTTGAAGCATAGAATGTACTATAATGAAGATAATTTTTCAGCCTCTGTAGTAAGGCTTTTGAAATAGATCTATTTAAGAAACAAATTATGGCCATTTTGACATTTTATGATAAAGTTGAAATTCGATGCCATAATTGACTCCTTTTTATCAACTTTTCCAATTTTATAGGAAACTATAGTAGAATGCAATTATTTGTTAACAATTATAATAGATAGTGAGGACCCATTTACAGTAGAAATGATCAGCAAGACAAGATTTGCAAATAAATCAACAATGCCAAAATCATCAGTCAACTGCCTGAAGTAGTCAATCGGAGTTATATCCATTTAATTACAAATTACTAAGGCTTTTCTACCTCAGGAATAGATTACGTTAGCAGTATTTGGCAAAACTTTTAGGAATTTTTGGTCCTCAATTCTCTTCAACTTCGTTCTTTATTTGGCCTTTTTAACTTTTTTTTATTCGAGCGTCACTGATGAGTCTTTTGTAGACGAAACGCGCGTCTGGCGCAAATACAAAATTTCAATCCTGGTATCTATGATGAGTTTATTGAAGACCTATTTTGGCATTTTCGGAAGTGATCTTGAAAACTATAATAGATTGTGAGAAACTTTGAACAGCCTAAATCATCATTTCGACTTCCAAAATGTGAACGTTCTATTTCTATGTACACACATATAAATATATATATATGACAACATTCAAACAGCGCCTGCATATGGAGTATATATCTCCCAAATAATAACGATATTCCAGAGCTTGCATTTTCTCTCATGATTTCCTTGATAGAGGGTTACTGCTTACAATGAAACTACATGTATATATATCTAGCCAAGAGTTCCAAGTGGTAATTTGAAGTCATCCCTTCGAAAATTTTGCCAACACCATCACCAGTTGGTTGACCGTTATGGCATATCTGTTTCACAGATGACGACAAATATGTTCCAATTGTCTTAACCACAGTCCCGTCCTCTTTTTTTCGAATGTGACCTACCGGAGTAGACTTATCACCGGGTGTGAACTTACATTAGCTACACGATGGGTGCCAATGTGAAGCAGGATCTGCGTATCCTTCCGAAGATCCTGAGATCTCCACTGGTTTTTTGTGGGGTTTGTTTTGCTCAATCTTTAGTTTTCTATAGTGTGTTTTGTATAGTGCTGTTTGCATTTTGGTCGTTTTTTGTCTCGCCTGTGACGAAAGTCGCAGTATGCGAGATATAGGGATTACAATCTGGCGGCGGCGACAACGTAAAGTATTTGTATAAAGCTTTTGAATCAGAAGGTAGAAGACCTGGATGCTTCATACCTTGTATGCAGATACCTTATGTTACGAAGCTTCCGTCTGTCATATGTTCATTGGCCTTGACCTCATTTTCATAGTTCAGTGACTTCTTGAAAAAAAATTACAGTTTTTTTGTTAAGTGAAATAATCACTTATTATGAGTAATAGGATAACCTTTTTTGGTATATGGATTCCTTGCAACGTCTACACGTCCGTCATGTAGGGTTAACGTGACCTCGACTTTCTTTCATGAACCAGTGATCAAGGTTAAAGTTACGTGATCAAGTCCGTATCTCAGATACTATAAGCAATAGGTCAATTATATTTGGTGTATAGAATGATTGTAAAGTGTACATGTCTGTTTGGCGGGTTTCATCTGACCTTGACGTGAATTCAATGGCTCATTGGACAATGTTTAGTTTTTGTGGTTTAATCTATTTCTTAGATACTATAAGCAGTAGGGCTACTTTTTTTAGGCGTTTGAATGATTGGAAGGTGTACAAGTCTATCTGGCAGCTTTCATATGACCTTGACCTTGTTCAATGGACAATGTTTAGTTTTTTGTGGTTTTGTCTGTTTCCCTGGCATGTCTGGTACTATATGCGATAGGACCACTATATTTGGTGTATGGAATGATAGTACGGTGTACTTGTCCGACTGGCATGGTTCATTTGACAGTGATCTCATTTTCATAAAACATTGATAATGTTATGTTTATGTGACACTTGTAGTAAAACCTTCGTATTACAGACTTTCAACATAAATTCAATCATAAGTAAAGCAGGCGAGACATTTCAGCATGTGCACTCTTGTTCGTTTTTTCTGACATGGCGTCTTATGAGTTTGAATGTTCCTTTGGGATCTTTCGCCTCTCTTTGAGACAAGATCCTCAAATAAGTCAAATGACCAAAATCATAGGTCAACTTTGTATAGGAGTTATCTTTTAATGACGATGTTTACCCATTTTTGCATTTTTTGGTGGAATAAAAGCAGACAGAAAGAAGCTAAATGGCAAAAATGATAAACCACATAAGATCAACGTGCACAAATATTTACTTACCAAAAATCATCAGACGACTCGTTTTAGCAGGTACAGTCCATTAGTTACGAAGTTTACCACTTTTTGTGTGTGTGGCTATAATCGTGAAAACTATAATATAACCGAAGAAATTGTAAACAAGACAAAATAGTCAGAAATGCATGATCTACTGTAAGTCAACATGGTTGAAATCATCAGTCAACCTTAAAAGGATTTATTGCCCTTCAATAATTTTACAATAAAGCCATTTATATGTGATATAATTTAGAAAAGTCTGTCCCAATTAAGTTCACCCATCTTTTCCTTCTTCCCTTACCTTCATATAGGAATGAAGCTTTCTGGTGATTTTCATTTCGATAGTCCTGAAATTTGTCAATATGTAAGATTATATTGCTTAGTTTTAGTTTTACTTTGATTTGATCGTTGTGATTTGACGATCGTTAATGAAGTAATGAAATGATACATTGTGAGAGTAAGTACCTTCAGAGAAATAACGCCTATATTTTGATAGGTAATGACTTGTGGATATTAACCTTTACTTCGCAATTTTTATAACTTTTAAAGATTTTTGTGTTTTACAAATGTTTATATTTTGTAAAAGGTTTTGTGTCGATGGAGTGGAACAGTTGGCCAATGTGCCATATAATCTTTTGGACATCAAATTGTGTCTCCCCATGCGTTATCTGTCGTAAATTGTCTTAATTTTTTCCGAAGTTGCTGTCAGTTGTTCCAGATGTTACGAATAGAATCACGGGTTGAACTGTGGAAAGTTTTAAGCGAAAAGTATGCTGGTGACCTGATACAAAAAAAAAATTTTGGAAGTAAGTCATTATTTTGATTTGAAAAGTTATAGACAAATCTACTTGAGATAATTTACAAATATTTTACCAGGTTTAGATTGGCCATGGAATTGGAAAAAGGAAGATGTCACATGCTACACCACGTGTTTGGCAGCAGTTGGTACAGGTGCAGTTGTTGCAACCCCTTTGGCAATATCAGCAGCAGGATTTGGCACCGCTGGTATTATTGCTGGATCTTTTGCTGCTAAAATTATGTCCATGGTGGGAGTTGTGAAGGCTGGAAGCTGGTTTGCCTTTTTACAGTCGGCTGGAGTTTATGGTGTTGGAACAACGGGTAAAATGGTATTAGCATCGACTGTTTCACCATTGTGTGCAGCTATATGTGGAAGTTCAGAGGAAAGACAAGGTATTTTTTTCAGATAATGCGATAGTATTGATAATAGTGTGTGAAATGAACTTCATAATTGAAAAAGCATATTTACAAATAGAAGGCAAACATATCTTAAAAACTGCAAACTCACAATTTAACTCGAGCACAAACTTACGAGACCTATATGCCAACAGTTTGCTATTGTAATGGAAAGCTGTATATTGTACATTTAACACTCAATAAGTTGTTGACTTTCACCTGCTTCGTCGGAAAACGATGGTATCAAGACAGGAATATGGCAGTTATTTTTCATTCGGTCCGTTAGTTGATGAAAACTAATGTTTGATTTTGCCAGTTTTCATGAACTACTCCTTTTTGAATTTACCTTTGAGTTCGGGTTTTTTGTTGTGATACTTTTTTTTTTACTAATAATGATTCATTTGACTGAAGAAGTGAAATTCTAAATTTTGTTTAACAAAATGTTTTTCTTTCTTTCTTTTTTGACAGATTTAAAATGTTACACTCATAGAATTGATGGAATGAAAGGTTTGGATGAATATCTGATACGAGCTGAACAAGTAAAGAATATTAAGCAGTGTGAAGATCAATGCAATGATGATACAGCTTGCAGGGCCTTCCGATATCTCCCGAGAAATAGCTTTTGCTTTTTATACAAACTACAACAATATATTGAAGACGATATAAGTGAAAGCCAATTTTATGTAAAACGTTGCATTTTATGTTACATGAACGCAACGAAAAATGCCAAAGGACGTGATGATGAAATTCAAACAGTTTGGGAAGTATCTTCTCTCAAGGAATGTGAGATTCAATGTATTAAAACTGACGACTGCGGTGCTGTTCATTTTGATGGACAAAGATGTTTCAAATTTAACACCAAAACGGAACCAAAGGAGAATACAGGCATTGATTTTTCTTCAAAGATATGTGTAGAGTTCAGCGATATAGCACTTGAATATGATGGTTAGATTTTAATTAAGACTATTTACCCTAGACTTTCATTATAGCGAAATCAATGAAAAATGTAAGGGACAGTAGTGAAAAAGTGCTATTCCTGTAATGAACGCTTATTTGCTAGTATATGAATACCTATTTTTGTACTTTCACCCCCTATATCCACATTTCCCTAAAGAAGGTCAAACACATGCTATGCCACTCTTTCTCATAGTAAAATGGGGAAAATATTTTTGTGCCCGTCCGTGTGTCCGTCTGTCCGTGTGTCTGTCCGTTCTTGTTAGCGCTCTTACGGGTACAATTCTTGCCAGATAAAAAAAAAACTTATACTATATGTTAATCAGCAATATCTCGGAAGAGTTCTATAATGGTGGACGATCGACTTTTTTAAAAAGAGTTATGCCCCTTGGAAATATTAAATTTATGGAAAATGGCCTCGTTAGCACTCTCACGGGTACAATTCTTGCCAGATTTTTACAAAACTTATACTATATGTAAATATCAGCAATATCTCGGACAAGTTATACCATGGTGGACGATCGACTTTTTTAAAAAGAGTTATTCCCCTTGGAAATATAAAATATGTGCAACACAGGGGACATTTTTCTTAAACATTTATGTTCATTTACCTTTTTTACGGCAACGATTATTAAGGTACCACATTTAATGTATGACTTTTATAAACAGACATTGCAATCTAATTAGACAAATCCCTCTTGATTCTAATTGGTTAATAAACAAAAACAAAAACGAAAAAAATCTTCCTTGAAAATTAAAATGCAAAACCTTCGCATAATATACAGGAATGATTTTCAGACCCTCCAACACCAATCCTAATTTCAATCTGATCATGTATCAAAGACGACGCTACATACTTATTAATGGACTACTAATTTTCCTACTTTTTGCATCTAAACCTTCATGGGCAATTTGTTCAAACTAAATAGAAAGAGTTAAAAGAGAACTGTAAAAAATCCTCATTTCGTACCGATTTCTAGGTATACATGGCGTCAATGACAGAGGATAAGGTTCCACGGAACGGTATAGGAAATCAAATTATCATATTTTCCTTTGAAACAAAATGGTCAGTCTGAACCTTTTTTATCGATGTTCTTTTGGAAAACATCCCAATTCTTATCGGATGAAGACATCACTGTCAAAGGCAAATATTGATTTTGATTATTAGATTTTGAAATCTGTCCTCTGAAACTTAAAATCTTTCCAAACTTTCAGGTATGATAATTGGAAAACAGATCGCGTGTTTTGTATTGGTTTGTGGTATTATGACAGCAAGGATGCAACAGACATAATGGGTCCGATTGTTTTCCATTTTAGAAATCGTCTTTCCAGACATTCGAAAAAAAAAACAGAAGACTCTCATTAAAGCCGAAATGTTTTCTTACTTCTGTTCAATTCTTAAAGCAACAACAATTTTCAAAAAAATATTATTTATAGTCGAGTTTTTAGTTAACAAAATTAAAGAAATTCAATCGGTTAAAAGGTTTGGATAATCGCCGTTGTTGAAAATGGGCATTAATCAAGGTGAGCGGTACATTTTTTTAGAGCTTAAGATTTATTTTCAAAGCAGAAGAAGATAAATATTAAAGTATTAAAACTTTAAAAGATACTTTGAATTAGATACATATATAATATATCAATCTGTAACAAATACATAATTTGTCAATCAACCAAAAACCAAAAAAATGCTTAAACGTTTTTTTTTCTGTCGACAGTATTCATTAAAATTCTTTTAAATTTGCAACATATATTTATTAAGCAAATATGTAAATAAGCTTAAAAAGGTAGGCGTTTATCCAAGTCATGAAAAATATTTTTACAAGAAAACAATGTCATTTATAACAATTAAAAAGTAAGGATATATGAAAGTGGCATTAAAACATAATTCAAAGAAACCAAACAACCTAATGGCCAAACGAAAAAGAGCGAAAATACAATCATCAATGCATATATCATTACACAAAAAGTTTGTTTCAGAACATGTGGGACCCAATTAAAAAAATGTAGGTATAGTAAACTGTTACTGTTGCATAAATGACACTCGTTGCTTGCGTGTAACACTGAAAAATCCGGTTATAAATGGCATTTAGTTATGTCATAAATTAGTGTGAACAGTAGTATACCGATGTTCAAATCTCAAAAATCAATTTCGAAGATACAAATCAAAGTAAATAAAAAATGAGGGAATTGCATGAGCTGCTAAAGGAACGATACCGGGTGCATGGACAAGAAAAGCGTCTCCATCTGTGCATGTATCAACGAGGAAAGGGAGACAGAATTATTGCTTTGTCAAATGCACCACATCAGCCGTCATCAGTAAAAAGTAAAATAACAAAAATACTGAACTCCAAGGGAAATTCAAAACGGAAAGTCCTTTATATAATGGAAAAATCAAAAGCACACATCAAACGAATGAAAACAACTATCTTATTCCTGACTAGGTAGAGGCATTTCCAAATGTAGAAAATGGTGGATTAAACTTGGTTTTATAGCTAGCTTAACCTCTCACTTGTATGAGTTTGAATGTTCCTTTGATATCTTTCGCCCCTCTCTTGTATGACTGTCGCATAGAATTCCATTATATTGACAACAATGTGTGAGCAAAACAAACAGAGATAATAGGTAAAAATGTCAAAAATTGGGGTACAGCAGTCAACATTGTAATATAATCTTAATCAATGTAAAAACAAAAGAATATTTCAACAAAGAAAAACAAAATGGCATATAGACACTCTATAGACAAAGCACATAAGCAAAAATGAAAGACAAGAATACAGAACTGACCATAGCACAATACCACAATGGCGGGATGTATAAGTACCGAGCCACGCCAACAGTATATATCCTAAAATGGACAAAACAATAAAGGCTAAAAATGAACAAGGACAAATGAAAAGAACACTATAACACGTAATTAAGATGGTAAACAACGTCAGTACCTAGAATCTATGCTCCGTGTTGAAGGCTATACTTTGACCTATTTTTGTTTACTTTTTACACATTGTGACTTGGATGGAGATTTGTCTCATTGGCACTCACATCTTCTTATTTATACTCAAGACCATCATGCATTATTTGTGAAGTTGATGCGGAATATTTATCAACAAGGTCACGGTATCTTCCAATGAACTTTTTTTTAGAAAAAGGACGAGTAAAGTCAATTGTATATTTTCTATCAAATCGACGAAATTTCCAAAATTTAAGTGAACTAAGACTATCATATATGTTTGTTTTTTTCTTTTAGGTGATAAATACAAGAAAAAAGGAAACAGTTGAGTGCTAGTGATTGGTGACGACTATCAAATTTGAAGAACAGTGAATTAATGATGTAGAAAATGTGTTGACAAGAACAAATTGTTATAAGGAAAAACTTAGATAGTATTTTATTTATTTGTTGTTTTGTATTTCAATGAATTTCTGTTGAGCATCCATCTTTATAGCGAACAAGATTTCCAATTTTGACTATTTCGTATTAATGTTGTTGTTTTTGAAACTACGCTAAACAAATGATTAAGAAATTGAGTTTTTGAGTAATTATTAAATTTGTATTTTTGTTAAGCTATGAAATTATATTTTTTTTCTTTGTACATGTGAAATGTAAAAAGAAAACTTAGTGAAAGTTTTTGTCTCATCTGCGATGATAGTCGCAAAGTGCGAGACATAGGGATGCTTGTCCGGCGGAACGAGTACGCCGTGAACAATTTGTATAAAGCTTTATATCTCAGAAGATAGAAGACCTAGATGCTTCATACATTGTGAACAGATGCCTTATATTACGAAGTGTCTGTCTGTCATATGTCCATTGTCCTTGACCTCATTTTCATGGTTCGGCTAATACTTGAAAAAAAATATAGTTTTTTTTGTCATGTAAATAACTCACTTATAGTTAGTAATCGGATATCTACATTTGGTATATGGCATCCTTGCAAGGTCTTCATGTCCATCAGACAGGATTAACCTGACCTTGACCTCATTTCATTGATCAGTGATTAAGGTTAAATTTTCGTTATATTTTAAGTCTCTTGGAAACTATAAGCAAAAGGTGAACTATGTTTGTTATCTGGAATGATTATAAGGTGTTTCATGATTCACTGGGAAAAACACGTTCCTTGTTATGTTTATTACTCAGATATTATAAGCAATAGGTTAATAACATTTGGTGAATTGCATTTCTTCGACAATTGGAACCTTTCAACAAAAGTTTCAAAAGTCACAAAAAGACAACTATCATCAAAAAGTGAAAAGTCACATCTCCAAATGAGTACCTGTTTAGAGAGCGTCCGGCTACGGCTTTCAACAAATAATTTGCAAAGGAATGACTTAATGTAAAAATTAACATGCATGCTCAAATAGGACTGGCTGCCTTACAGAACTGACGATGCTTGATTCATTGATTAAGCCAACAGCGCCTGCATATGGAGTATATATCTCCCAGTTGTAACGATATTTCAGAGCTTGAATTTCCTATCATGATTTCCTATATAGAGCAACTGCTCACAAGGAAGCTATTACCATTAGTTAAAATCATCCCTTCGAAAATTTTACAGACGTCTTCACGAGCTGGATGACCTTTATGGAGTATTTGTTCCACAGATGAAGAGAGATATGTTCCAAATGTCGAAACCACATCCCCTCCTCTTTTCCTCAAATGTGACCTACTGAATTAGACTTATCACCGTGTTTATACTTACATAAGCAACACGACGGGTGTCACTAGTGGAACAGGATAACCCTCTGTTTTTAGTGGGGTTTGTGTTGCCCAGTCTTTAGTTTTCTATGTTGTGTTTTATATAATGTTGTTTGTCTTTTGGTCTTTTTTCGTTTTTTGTCATAGCGTTGTCAGTTTATTTTCGACTGATGAGTTTGAATGTTACTTGGTTATCTTTCGCCTCTCTATCATATTAAGTAAATGACTTCATATAACATACATACTAATTTCCGTTTTATTAGCAATAAAAACCATGTCTAACTTAGAATATTAACTTAGAGAAAAAAACTTGGCTGTGTCTCTGTCTTTAATTCCTTACAGCAGGTTTTGATGTGACAAGGGTTGAAAGTTAAAATGGATTGGGCAGAGATGTCATACTTGCAAAAGAAAATCAGATAAGGAAGAAAACTCAATCAAATTTTACAAAATTTAAAAAGAAATGCAATTTATATGGAGATCTAACAATGAGACAACTGTTTACAAAAGGTACTTTGTGTTGTTTGTGCTTCATTCGTAAAGAGGTTTTTGCTGGAATAAGATCTTGTACCACATCAATAAGTGATACTTTAACCAAGTCGAATGCATATCGCTTTCAATACTTAAATGACTTAAGAATAGAGCTTTTAACAGCATTTCTAATTATAACATTTGTAAATTACGTTAATTGAATGATCTACAAATGTGTAATGTGACAAGTTTGATATATAAATGATTACGCCAGATAAGCTAACTCACAGCTCTGACGACTTTTATTTTGTTTTTGTTTTTAAAATAATTTATCATTTGCAATTAGTGAAGGGAAAAGGAAAACATCTAAGCAAATATCGTTTGGCACCAGTTTAAGTGTACACAACACGAGTCACTGGACAAAAATCAGTTTGAAAATAAGTAGATGTGTTTTGATTGCCAATAATACAACTATCCACCAATTTTCAAACTAATTAGGCATGTTCAACTTCAAAAGTAAAATAATATGCTTTGTTTTACTGAATCCCAAGTAGACAAAACTGAGGAAAATAACTAGTATAAATACAGTTGGATAGTGCTGAAATCAAATTTTCAGATAGACACTTTTAAAGAAAGGGGTGGTAAAAAAGGAAGGGGTAGTAAAACTATTTAAGTACAGTTTAAATGATTATTAATAAGGCCAGTGAATGTCGAAAAATGCTATATTTCCCTGTATTTTGACGTTTGCAAAAAAATATCCATTTGAACATTTCATTCCAGTTTTATTAGTTTTACGATTTTAGTTTCTATTGTAGATTACACTGTCCTTTTTTTTTTTGTTGTTTTTTTATTACAAAAGTAAAGCCTTTAACTACCAACAACACTAAATAACGGTTAGTCAATCGAAAGGTATATATATATGAAGTTAAGTGCGAGAGAGTGTTTTTCCCGATCACCTATTTTCATAGCTTATACATTTCTATTAACTAATTAAGCACGAATCCACAACTCGATTAATTGATATATTGATAGTTGATTTATGCCCACTATTTGTTTCACAGGTGTGTGAAATAAGGAGTCGATAAAATTTTTTTTATTAATTAAGTTTTTTATTATGCAAAAACTACTTATTTGTGTCATAGCTTTCGCGCCTATGCAATTTTAACAGTGATTGACCAATTCTTTACTTTATAAATGCAGTAATTTACGGTTAGGAACTTGACGGTTGATATGGCATTCAAACATAAAATTGTGGAGTTTAAAAGGCCCTTGTATTAAAAATAAAACAGATGACAACTGCGGGTGTAGTTATATATATATTGAGATAAAAGTATATCTGCTTCGTATGTTTTGAGGACAAAATAATTTTCCAAAAACTGGCAAATATAAACGGGCGTTATACATGTTTTAAAAAACTTTAATTTCAAAATAAAACTAAATTTCTGTCAATGAATTTATCAAAATGTAAATATGTGTAGCCAATAAATATTCTAGTGGCATATGCATTAAAAAGTCAACTACTGTGAAAGTACTTTTATTCATCGTTTCAGTGTACGTGGTTTGAGCAAATGTTACATGTTTGTGGGTTCTTTTTTCGAGGATTTTAGTTTACTATCAAAAATCGCGCGAAGAATCTTGAAAATAATCATTTGTTGTTTTATAATGATTCGTGGGATATTGCAAAATAAGGTGTAGATTTTTGTTTTGATGGAAGGAAATTGCAAAGTGAACATTTAAATTGTTGCACAAGTGTAATCAGAAGTGCATGATGACACAAATTAACCCGATAACAAATGATCAACAGATTAACAATCATCAAAGGTATTAATTGGGACATAAACATGTCACTTAAAGAAAACGGTTAGAAAAAAATGCTAGAAATGTATAAATTGTAGAAACTAATTGTTATGAAATAAAAAAGCCCAATATGAAATTAATATTTTTTTTTCGTATAAAAATTATGAGGAGATAAAATGAACACTTCATCATCACATATCATCACCGAAAGTCTGACTTTCATCGGTCATAACTAAGTTTTCATAAGAATTAAAAGGTTAAAAGTCCTACAATGTAAGTTTTTTAAAGATTAAATGGGCAAAAACCGGTCTGAAATTTTATATATAGTTCATAGTGCGTTGGCTGATACTCGATGTTTTCTCTAGATTATATGCCCGTACCAATGTAAACCTACATGGGGATCTTTCCATGTCTTGATTTGGATAACAGATGTTAAAATTCATTGGACACTTAAATTCGTGGATAAAACCATCCACGAAAACCACGAAAATTGTTACCCCACGAATAAAAAAACTTTCATAGTATCAAAAGATTAATTATATTAAATATAATAAGAGTACTTGTTTGAAAACATTTTTTGATTTCACAGTAAAGCTTTGTTAATTGACGAAAAATTTCATTATATATTTTGGGCATTTCATTTAGGCATTATCAAGTGCATCACTTTATGATGCAAAGGATCAAGTTCCCTAAGAAGGATTTTTTTATCAAATTGATCGTCAAAATCATCATTTTTATCATTATTTTCTGTAGAGTAAAATTAAAACTTCTAACCCATTGAATTTGCTTTCCAAAAGTGACAAAGTACACTAAGTAACTACATTAATGACCACAATAATAATATTGCATTGTACTGTGAAAAAGGTATTAAGAATGACAACTCTTTTTGATAGCATATTGTCTTTTAAATATATCATTTAAATAGTAGGTTATTTAAAAATCATGGTGAAAACTCATTAACTAAATTAAATTTAGAACACCTAAATTTCATTAAAAATAGCCAGTGACAATAATTGTTCCTTAATATACCTCGATTAAAATAGAATGCCATGCTTACCTTGTGGTCATTTATGCATAGTTACTAAGTACACAAAAAGGTATAAATTTAGAAGAGAAATTCAAGCAGATTGGACCAGGAGGAATGTAATCATCTGCTAATTAATTTTATTTCTGTAGAGGAGATTTTCAAATTAAATATATTTAAAACCAACAGAGCAAATTTATCAAAAATTTAAACTACCGTATCGTACTACATTTATTGTCATTGCCCGCTTGCCAACATTTCAGATTTGCGATATTTAAAAGAAAAGGTAGTTATAGTACATAATAATTAATTTTGATGAATACTGTTACATTATGTACATACAAACAACTAGGAACAATTTGCAAGCAGTAAACACTATTTACCGACAATTTCATTCATGTGTAATTGTAGCCATTTAAAAATGGATGACATTTTGGAAATTACTATAAACCCTAAAAATTAAAATGATGACCTTGGCCTTCTGTATAAGTATTCAAACATAATTTACAGAAATCACTTTTAAAATGATGAGTATAATGAGTATAATAAATTTAAGCAATTTTAAAAATCTTACATGTCTGA